TCTCTCTCTCTCTCTCTCTCTCTCTCTCTCTCTCTCTCTCTCTCTCTTTCTTTCTTTCTTTCTTTCTTTTATGTATTGCAACCTGATGACATCTTCCCCTCCCTCCTCCCTTCTCAGTCCCTCCTCCTCACCTCACTCCTTCCTTAGATCCAGAAAAGAGCAGGGTTCTCTTCAGAAAAGAGCAGGGTTCCCAGTGAACACAACCAAACAGAGCATAACAAGTTACAGTCAGACTCGGCATATAACTCGTATCAAGATTGAAGGAGGCAACCCGGTAGAAAGAAAGAGTTCCCAAAGCAGGCAAAAGAGTTAGAGACATACTCTATACCCACTGCAGTTCCCTTTTAATGACCTTGAGGGAACACGCTATGGAGAAAAGTTGATTTGCCTGTTTCAACTTGTGTGCGTCTTCTGCTTGTACACACAGGGACCCTGATCCACAGTCCCCCTGGTGTATAATGCCTTGTCTTCTTTGACCTCCTAACTAATAACCTAAATCCTGAGAACAAAACACACACAATCTCTTCTTGTTTCCTAATTCCTTACTCAATGAAATGTAAAATACCAAAGTCATATTTTTAAACTAAAATATTGGAAATTCATCTGGACATATCTACCCCAGAAGAACATAGCAGGCATTCGAAGGGGGCTTATTTGCAGTCACTCAAAACCCCAACTCTTAGTGTTGTGGAGACAGATAGTGGGTATAATTATAATTTTTGTAACTCATAAATGTATTTCAGATCATGACTATCAGTTTGACATCTGTAAATCCCTGATTTAAAGAGGGGATAAAGTTGGGCCCACCTGCCGGCATTAATCAAGAGCCAGTTAAGGTGGTTCCTATCTGTAATGCCAGCACAGAGAAGGTGGAGGGCAGAGGATCAGGACATCAAGACCATCCTTAGCTACATAGCTAGTTCAAGGTCAGTCTGAGTTACTTTCAAACAAATAAGGTTCAGTGGACCAACTCCCTAGTCAGGTAGGGTCCTCTGACCCCTGAACCTCTTGCCTGTCTTTGGAAAGTCAAAGTGGTAATGGCCTCAGCCACTTTGTGTGTGTCACTCGTGCTAGCTTGGACACATCTAGTCTTCCTGGCTCTAGAAAACTGTCACTAACTTCTTTTCTAGAAAGAAGAACACACGCTCAATTCTGGGTTTGGAGAACACAGGAGATCCATCGATATGTTCTACACAGGAACAGTGCCTCCACAGGGCCTGGCTGAAAACACCAATCATATCTTTCCCTCAGCCTATCTGTCCTGCGACTCTAGGCCCATTGTCTCCTCACCGACCTCCAGTGCAACTTTTCAACAGCCTTCCCACACCTGGATCTCTGGTATACAGGACAGAGGTGAGCAAGCAGGCGTGGGAATGGCAGCTCGGCCAGCCTTTTGAGTAATCTTTTAAGGAAGGCATAGCTAAGAACACCATTTCTCAGAAACAGTCCCAGGACAACATCCAGGGACACAGCTTTGGCCCTCCGCTAAGGTTGCTAGACTCAATACACATCCAGGGAAAGGATGTCCCTGGAGTTTCACCACATCGACCCTGTGTTAAGTCTAGGATCCTAAATACCCTCCTCCAACACACACACACACACACACACCTGTCTTCCTTGCTTTCGACTCACATATTTACTGCCCACTGTGACCAAGATACCAGCGCGCAGAGAAGCTAGAAGACGAGTCCTAATTCAGAAATCGCCTCAAAAACCTTTTTGCCTATCACTCCTCCACACCGAACTTGAACCACGCAAGAAATGAAGCCATTGCTTGTCGCCTATTGAGTCCACGCAGAGACCAGAGAGGATCCACCTTTTCCCCTTCCCCATCTGGGTCCCCATTCTATTGCACCCGCGAGTGGCTCACCCAGAGGGTCAGCAGCAGCTTCGTGCATAGTGTCCTGCACTGCGGGCTCCGGAGCTCAGGGACCGCCATCGCACAGTGCAGCCTCAGGAGGATGCAGGCAGGCGCCAAGCAAGGACTCTAAGAACCTGGGCGCAGGAGGTTTTCCACAGCAGCTTGTCTAGAAGTCGTTCTGGCCTCTCTCAAGCTTCTTTGCCCAGGAGCGTGTTCTCGCCTGAAACTGGATTGGACCAAGGAGACGCTGGGTGGCCCCTCCTAGTTATTTCTCAAGTTTTATCACCTCCGGGGCCGCCTTGGAGCTGCCTGAGCCTGCCCCGAGCTCCCCGCGGCCGCCAGGGAGCTCACTCCCCGGGAAAGCGGTCCCGGGTCCACCCTTTGCCAGCTCTCCCACACCCCTCTTCTGCCCCGCGGGGTTACCGCCCAACCTTACCCGCGTCCCTTTTGCTGACACTGTGCTGAGCATCTCCACTACTGAACTGGAGCCGCCTGCTCTACTCTGGGTGCCAGGAACACACACCTGATCTGATCATAGGACCCTCCCATCCAGTCCATTGCTGTGCAAAACCTGGGCAACCTCTTCACACGTTGAAACAAAACCCAGGTAGTCTCTCCAAACCTCATTAACATTTTTAAATAAACCACTGAAGGAAAATTGTCCCGAATGCCATGAATTATCTGTGCCAGATATTAAAATCAGAGAAAAGAAGTGCTTACCTGACCATGTATCCACACCCAAACCACAAAACAAAAAACCTTTTTGCTTTAATTGCTTATAATGTTTGTGGGAGAAAGAGAGAGAGAGAAAGAGAGAGAGAGAAGGGAGAGAGGGGTGAGGAGAGACTTGTTTTTGCATGTTCACTTACTGGTCAAATGTGTTTTCCTTTTCCTTTTTCCTTTTTTTTTTAATGTAATTGTACTAAAATAAAAACTTTCAAATGTGGTCACAGGAAAATCTCTCAAGCAAAGTGTTCTCTAAAATGGGGTTTGCAATTTCAGCATCACCCAACAGATACTTATTATAGGGGTCCAAAATCATCAGTCTGAAGGGCTGGAGAAAGGATTCATACAGACCCAGTTTTTGGTCAAACTGACTGGCAGCTTAGGTGGAAAGACCCTTGACCACTTTTTTGTCACAATAAGGGCCTTTGGACCTCTGCTGGCAGAATTCATGAAGAAATCCTTGCCAGATGTGTTGCTGGTCTTCAAAGCCCACTCAAAATCCTTGGTCAGAACCCTGGATCAGCACACAGTACTGTGGTAAGCGTGTGACTGCCTTCATTCACCTGCCCCTGATTACTTCTGAGAGCATCACTGTCAAAGTCATGTGCTGCTGCAAAGTGTGAGGCTTCCCTGAGCTCTCAAGATTCAGACATACCAAGATTTAGCTACATGGTCTCCTTCCTGATCCATGTAAGACACCATCAGCTGAAGTCTTTGTAGAAGGCCCTTCTGGTCTCAGAGACAGCACTTCAAATCTATCCCCTCTGGAAATTTACAGCTCCTTTTCTTAAACCTCCTTTACTCAGGAAATCTCAGAGAAAGCTGTGCTGTCTTTCCCAAACTCAGTTTGGTATCCAGAGTGGAGCTGGCTTTTCTGCAGTACAGGAGGAAGGACAGACCAGCACGGCCAGCACAGAGTTGTTCCATTCAGGATTCTTCCTTCGACTGAAGGGCTAAAGAGTTAGGAAACTTTAGAGTATGGTTCTTCATTCTATGAGGAAGCAAAGATGAGTGAAATAAGAACAGAGTTAGGAGTGTTCAGTAAGAGCCAAGGCAGCACCTCCAGAGTGTGAGCAGCACTGGAGAGACTCAGCATCTGACATGATGGAGACAGAAAGGGATCAGAACAGCTGGATGGGAATCTCTGTGCCTGGACCTTGGAAGAGTCTCCTGCTTCCAAGGGGTAACTAATCTTAGGAGGTAGAGGCTGACTCCTGACCCACTGATCTGGCCTAGCTTGTGCAACCTAGCACCAACCGGTCTAGTACACCCACTCAACCTCTGTGTCTGTGGTCAGGGATGTAGCAAGTGTGGGTCACTTCAAACACTTCTGTAATATTGTGCCAGGGCAGCAGGATGCCTGAAAGAAACCTGTCAACAAGAAATTGAAACACTGTTTTGGTGAAGAGCAAGCAGATGATGGCCTTGAATAATCATTCTAATGACACAAAATAAATTAATTCTGCTGTGGGATTTTATCTTACAACCACTTTTTTGGGATAACAAGGTACAACATCACTAGAGGGTGTCTGCAAATCTCCCAGAACATCAAATAAACAATAAGCTTGACTTGGGGGTCTACTCAAAAGGCCTCTAGAAGTTGGTACCAAATGGATCCTTCATCCAAGAACTGCCCAGTGTAAGAGCCATCCACAGATCCTTGTCTGTCTCCATTCCTAATTTCCCAGCTTTTATTCTGTCCCACAGAAATGTTCCAGGCAGCCCAGGGAACCTCAGATCTAGACCAAAAGGCATATCTCCTAAGAACAGAAGAGCTTCCCCCTCACCCAGCTCTGCTATGGGTCCCTTTAAGTCTCACTTCATCCTAGGATTCATTTCTTCCCTGAATGATTAATAGTAGGATTATCCACTGTTGTCCACAGAAAACTCTTCTATTAAGAGTATTGGCCTTCCACTAGAGCATTGGCAACCATCATACAAAAGTTTGACACTTATTCATTGCCCAGATTCACCACCATGCAGTCTCAGGAATAATGACAGTAAGTCCAATTCATGAATTCATGTAGGGTGTGCCAAGCTTGGAAGTCTGTCAGTCTCCCTTTACTAACACGTGAGTCAAGAACCCCTACAAGGGCTTTCTTTCCTTCCACTGGAGTCTAGAGGCTCCTCACAATTAGTCTCTTCATCAAGCAGTCCTTTTAAGGAGGCAGGGCAGTGGCCCTAGAGACTTCCCACTAGTCTAGTAGGAAGGATAATTTCCACTAAGAAAACAAAAGCTCATTGTGTCAATGATGATGTCTGACAGCCATGAACAAAAGCTCATAGTCAGAGGAACTGATTATGATGTGTGTGTGTGTGTGTGTGTGTGTGTGTGTGTGTGTGTGTGTGTGTGATAGGAGTGGGGATAGCCTAACTCCAGGTTTGGTGAGAGATTCTGTCTGTAGGAAATAAGGAAGAGAATGTGATAGAGTAGGATATTCAACATCTGTCTCCTTCTGATCTTCATCAGGTACAGCCGTACATACATTTATATACAACACACACACACACACACACACACGAGAAAGGATTTTTAAGTCCTTATGTTTGCACATCAAGTACTTTTGCTGGCTGAGCCATCTTTCCAGCTCACATAATGAATTTAAAAATTTCATTTGAAATGCCCTATAAGTCTCCAACTACAGTTCTTTCAGAGGGAAGAATCTCTTTACCAGCTGAGACTCCAGTATTTTCTGAACCTTCCAGTGTCCTTTGGACCTCACTGTAAGCTTCTGCCTGTACATAGGGTATTGCCCAAGCATGAAAGTTAAGGTGTGAGTAGGCTGACTTCCAGATCTCATGTGTCATTATCCTGGCGTCATGCTTGAATCACTGCCCCATCAGCCTTGAGTTTCCCAGAACCTGAGGACCATCCTTCAACATCTACCTGGGCGAGTGGCATAGTCCTTAGCTCAGAGGCTTGTCACCTAAGTCAGGAATACAAAAGGAGCTTCTCATCAGTTTCCTTTGTGAAGGCCATGCTTTCGTTTATCATCCATCCCTTCATTCTTTGCTTTAGTAGTATTTGTGCATACATTTTATTTAAAAATAAATTGTATGTAAGCCTATTAAAAATTGCACATTGGTTTATTATAAAATCTATGATTTTTTAAATCCTTTTTGTTTGTTCTTATTCATTTTTGCTGTGCTATTTGTTCTGGGATTTTTGGCTTTGTGTTGTCCTGAGGCAGAATCTTACTAGGCAGCCAGAACTGGTCTGGAACTCACTATGTAACTCATGACTGAACTCACATTGATTCTCTTCCCTTAGCCTTCCAAACACTGGGATATCAGGCATGTACCACCAAGACTGGCTGAGATTTAAAATCATTTTAGTATAGTCTGACAGTTTCATAGATGAATACAATGCGCTTAGGTCATATCTGCATCCCACTCTTCCTTTCCAGTTCTCCAGGACCCCTCCCTACATCCTGTCCCAACTTCATCCGTGTAAGAATACATCAGACTCTCACTCCCTCATAAGTCCAACTCAGTGATCCTACATGAACATTTAAAGAGGGGAGGCACTGGAGAAATGGCTCAGTGGTTAAAAGTATTTCCTGTTCTTGAAGAGGATAGGTGTTCAGTTCTCAGCATTCACAACTGTCTGTAACTCCAGATTCAGATTCAACTCTCTTTTCTGGCTTCAGGAGGTATCAGGTACAAACTTGGTGAACATGACAACCACTCAAATACATAAAATAACTATAAATACAAGTTTTTCAAAATATCAGCAATGAGCTAGCAATCTTCCTAATAGTTAAGATATCCATCCACATTAGAATTCAGTGACCTTGATATATTCAGCAAAATTGCCTGTTTCTCACTATTTCCAACTTCTCTATGAATGGTCATCAGAAAAAAAGCTTCATATTTAATTATGCTTCCGTTTTAAATTAAGGATCTCTAATCAGGAAGTAATATTTAGTTTTCTAATTTATGCCCTCCTCTGTTTTGATAATAATTTAAAATTATTCTCTGAATAAATGATTCCAAACTCAGAAACTGACATTAGCCAGAGCTGCCTTACTTTCAGCTCTGAACAGACTTTTGCTTTTATCAGATGGTATCTGGACAGATTCCCAATCCTCTGATGATGGACATCTCACCTCTATGCTGTGCTCTGCCTACATCTGCCTCAGCCTTCAGTGCTAGAATGGTGGACAGTGCTGGAAATGAGGCTCAGTGTTAGAGCGCTTTCTTCTTATTCACATGGCTACAGTCACCTGTCCTAGCCTCCTTCAAATAGACTAGATAACTAAGTGCCCCAGTTATGACCATGTCCTCTTTTATCCTTTATGGTGACCCACTTTCCTGCAACATTCTGAAGATAGCTGACACCAGTGGCATTCAGTCTCAGTTCCTCCTACCTCGTTCTTTCTTACTTGGGCTTTTTCTTTCTCCAGAAGGATTTTTGAGAGGGATAAGACACTATAGTCTTAGTACACAGGCAGGTTAAATATACATTTTTCCCCTCCACATTCCCTTTTTATAACCTAAAGAACTTCCTAGAATGTTATCCTAT